TGGTTTTCAAGGACCGAGTGTACGTATTCGTGAGGGGCAACACCTATCACGGCAACAACAACGGAGCGGATAGTCGACGGAGCCGAGTGGGATTTCTTTCGGACACGTGTGCACTCCCCACCACGAAGCGTTCCCAATCGGTCCACCGTTCAACTTGTGCCTCTACCCCTCCCACGACGCCACCGTCGTTTGATCTGCTCCGGTTCCTGTAACGACGGTGACTGGAACCCGGCGCTTTGCCAAGGTGAGACTTTGACAATCCGTCGAGGCTACGCACGGAACGTCACGACGGCACCCCAGGTGTTCGGGATCGGCGCATCTGTCGGCCCCGTCCGCATCAACCTGTTCTCTACCGAGGACACCACCCCGCTTTGCTCAAAGGGATGATGTGAGGGGCGCTCTCACAACGGAAAAGGCCGGCCCGAAGAGAGAGTTCGTGCCTGTCGACAAACTTTCAGTTGTCGACTCGACTGAATTTGCATCGAAAATCTCGTACAGGCAATGGACGGCAGGCCCGTGCTCCGACAGGTCTCAACTTCGAGCCATACCCCAATGAGCTCCGACGGATCGGAGCCCACGGCGGTGCTCGGCGCCCCGATGTCGCGTAACGAGCTCGAACGCAGTCGCACGCAATTGAACCAGAGCGGCATGATGTCGCCCGGTACGGCATTTGAAAACCTGGACACCATCAAGGGACCGGCACCGCACACGTTCAGCAACAACAACGTGCCGGTGAAGCCCAAGGTCGCGCTCTTCGACGGCGACTCGCAGTTGTCGACCGAGGGATTCCGCCAACGCGCGGCACTGCAGACGTGCTCCATCAGTTGGCAACACATTTCGTACTTCATTCAGCCCAAGGAGAAGGCGCTCGGACGTCTCCGTAACAACAGCAAACGCGGATCGGGTCCGTCCGGACTGGAGGCGCAGTTCGAGCGCCAGCAACCCCGCAAAATCCTCAACAACGTGTGGGGACGGTCAGGACCAGGCGAGTTGACGGCCATTTTGGGTCCGTCCGGTGCCGGTAAGACCACACTTCTTGATATGCTCGCGGACCGAGTGCCGTCGGGAGGCTCGGGCGTGCATTTGGAAGGACTTGTGGAGGTGAACGGCCAGCCACGCGACCTCCGCACCTTTCACTCTATCATGAACTACGTGTCGGAAGACATGGCGTTCCTAGGCGCATTCACCGTGCTCGAAACGCTGCAGATTGGCGCTGGTTTGAGTCTGCCTGGCCACATGCCCCCGGTCCAGCGTGAAGCCCGTGTTCAAGACGTGATCGACGCCATGGGTCTACGATCGTGCTCTAATGCCCGTGTTGGCGATATCTTCCACAAGGGAATCTCCTCCGGTCAGCGCAAGCGTCTTGGCATCGCTCTGGAGCTCCTTTCCGACCCCGCTCTTCTACTCCTAGACGAGCCGACGTCCGGCCTGGATTCGTCCTCAGCTCGCGGTGTGATGCAATACATCGAGCGGTTGTGCCAGGAGGGCGGCAAGAACGTTGTGTGCACCATCCACCAGCCTTCTTCGTCCATTTACGGCATGCTTACGAACCTCATCATCCTCAGTGGCGGTGAACTCGTCTACGGCGGTCCTACAAACGCTGCTATCGCCCACTTCTTCTCGATGGGATACGTATGCCCAATGTACACGAACCCAGCTGAGTACTTCGTCCACCTGGTTAACACCAATTTCCACGAAGGCCTGAAACTCGAGCCATTCATTCGTGCACTCAAGGAAAGTGCCGAGCCGCAGCGTCTCCGTGCCGATGTAGTCAGAGATCGTTCGCGTCGCGATCACCTGGCCAATCCAGAACTTCTTAAGGCGATGCGACCGTGGCCGATGGACCAGTTCTTCGTGTTGGTGAAGCGTAACTTGACCAACAACTGGCGACATCCCGGTGTCTTCTGGCTGCGTGTACTCATGTACGTGTTGCTGTCGCTCATGGTGGGTACCATGTATCTGAGCTCCAACAACGGCATCAAGGACATCTCAATGGTGTCGCTGCTCTTCTACGTGCAAGCTTTCCTCGTCTTCATGTCCGTCGCTGCTCTACCAGCTTTACTGGAGCACCGTGCCATCATGGAGCGAGAGATGCGGGCGTACGCGCTGTCATTGACTGGTTACACGATGTCTAACCTGCTGGCTGCGTTACCGGGTATCCTGCTTATCTCTGTGCTAGCCTCGGCGATTGTGGTCTTCCTGGCCCACGTACGCTCGTTCCCGACCTTCCTACTCAACCTGACGTTGTCGCTGATCGCCGCCGAGTCGCTGATGCACTTACTCGGAGCTGCCGTACCGCACTACATCATGGGTATCGCCTTGGGTGCCGGTCTCTTCGGTATGTTCATGCTTTGCGAAGGGTTTATGGTGCCGTTCGAAGACATGCCAGTTTACTGGCGATGGGGCTACTACATCGCGTTCCACACGTACTCGTTCGAGTCTTTCATGTACGAGCACTTTTCCCAGGTCAACACGAAAGAGGCGTGGAATATACTCAAAGGCTACGGCATGGAGAAGGTCAACGTCTGGCAGAACATGATCATCCTGGCAGGCTACTCGGTCGTACTGCAGATCCTCGTCATCGGTGTGCTCTTTCTCCGTTTTAACCGGCACCGTCGCCGCTAAGCCTAGTGAAGTGTCTTTATTAACGTTTGTATAAGTTCAAACCATGGAAGAAGTCGTGTTACTATCCAACCCTCTGTCTATCCACGTGAGCGTGCGACGTTGAAGTGATCACCAGACTTTCCATGGTCGCCGACTCGGTGACCGTGATCTTCCCGCTGTCATTTGTGCCCGATGAAGTGGTGACCATCTGTCGTTATCCTCAGGGCTACAATTCATGTGATCTCAGCGCAATGCCAGATGGGAAAAGAGATGAAATGAGTCAATCCATTGAAGCGTTCAATGAACGCTCTTGTCTAATGTAGCAGTTATCCAACTGCTGGTGGGTGGGCGGGTGCTTCAAAATCACAACCGGGGTTCCAGTGTCTTCAGCGAGTGTACGTTCTTGTCTTCTTCGGCAAACTCCAGACGTTTCTGAGCCTTCATTAGCATCCGCATCTCGTGCTGGTTGTCTTCGTCGATTTTGAGGCCCTTGTCGATCGGTTTGAACGCGTCCTTTTCATCCAAGTTCAGCACCGTAAAGTAGCTAATGTAACAGAAAAACACACCAA